CTTTCTATTTTATGTCCTATCATACTGTTGTGTTTAAGTTGGCTGCCAATGACAGGGATGTAGATGGATATCTCATAGAATTCCGCGAAAAAGAGACAAAATATACATTTTATAAACGAAAAGTATAGCTGAACAAACTATTATTATTATTATTATACAACAAAAAGCGCGCATTATTGTTATAATAATATAGTCCAATTCATAAGAAAATGAAATGAAAGATACACCAGATAAAAGCGCTATTAAATATATTTAACTTGCATACGCTTTTAAAAATCAGATTTTTTGTGCAGACGGGTAAAGTGAAAAATTAAAATTATATAGTAATTTGGGAGATAAAACCTTTTTGCCTTCTAGCCGGCAAAATAAATGCCTGAAATTCCATTATTTTTTGGTCTGGAGCCATTCCGGATTGGGTCATCAATCATTAATTGTATCATCAGTTTTTCGAAAATAGAAATTTCTTTAAATTGACTAGATAAAACATTTAAAATCAGTGTAATTTAAAGGCGCTAAATCTCTAATATTTGGGATCTAGAAATTGACATAAATCGGTCGCAAAGCATATAATAATGTAATATGAATGTATATAAATTGATTTACGTCCAATCGTTTCCGTATTTACTCTAATTTCAAAGCAGTTATGTTTGGCGAAATACCGAATCAGTTTATTTACATTCATATTACATTATTTCCGACCCATTTGTGTCAATATAAGCGATTTAGCCCCTTTAAATAAAAGGTGTCTAGCGTTACATGTGTTCCGGGCATGTTTCATCAGTGACATGTGAGACGAGATATCGCTCTACGAAACTTCCTGGTGTCTTTTGCAATTTGTTTGGGGTAAGACGTTATCTCTCCCCGCCCATGCAGGGGCGGATCGGGCGAAGGGCCGGCCGGACAAAAAATGAAAAAAATAAGTTTTGTCCAATTCGTCTAAAACCAGCGGCTGCCAGGCAGAATACGCCCACATTTTCGAGATATGGATAGAGAACAAGCTAAAAAGAAAGTGATTTTTCCTACAATCAAGGGGCATAATTCAGGAAATTAAAATTTGATTTGAGCAAATATCGAAAGGAACCGAAATCTTTGAGTTATAAACTTACATTTCAAGTTTCAACAAAATCAGATAAAAATTGTGACCTTGATATACCATGTTTTTACGCTATTTGAGAACGAACGGCGGCCATTTTGTCTGTCAATTTTGGGCCGAATTTCACGAAATTCGAACTCCGCCGTCCTTAGGGTGTAACGGTGATATAATTATACGTTTTTTTAAATCGGATAAAAATTATGACCTCTATAGGGTCCACAAGCTAAAAACACGATTTTTCGTACAATCAGGGGGCATAATTCAGGAAGTTATGGCCCGATATGCGCGAATGTCGAGAGGAACTGAGATCTTTGTGTTATAAACTTACATTTCAAGTTTCAACAAAATCGGATAAAAAGTGTCACCTCTATAGGGTCCACAACCTTGATATACCATATTTTTACGCTATTTGAGAACGAAGGGCGGCCATTTTGTCTGTCATTTTTGGTCCGATTTTCACGAAATTCGGACTCAGTCGTCCTTGGGGTGTAACGGTGATATAATAATACGTTTTTTTAAATGGGATAAAAATTATGACCTCTATAGGGTCCACAAGCTAAAAACGCGATTTTTCGTACAATCAGGGGGCATAATCCAGGAAGTTACGGTTCGATATGCGCGAATATGGAAAGGAACCGAGCTCTTTTGGGTTATAAACTTACATTTCAAGTTTCAACAAAATCGGATAAAAATTGTGACCTCTATAAGGTCCACAACCTTGATATACCATATTTTTACGCTATTTGAGAACGAACGGCGGCCATTTTGTCTGTCAATTTTGGGCCGATTTTCACGAAATTCGAACTCAGTCGTCCTTATGGTGTAACGGTGATATAATTATACGTTTTTTTAAATCGGATAAAAATTATGACCTCTATAGGGTCCACAAGCTAAAAACACGATTTTTCGTACAATCAGGGGGCATAATTCAGGAAGTTATGGCCCGATATGCGCGAATGTCGAGAGGAACTGAGATCTTTGTGTTATAAACTTACATTTCAAGTTTCAACAAAATCGGATAAAAAGTGTCACCTCTATAGGGTCCACAACCTTGATATACCATATTTTTACGCTATTTGAGAACGAAGGGCGGCCATTTTGTCTGTCATTTTTGGTCCGATTTTCACGAAATTCGGACTCAGTCGTCCTTGGGGTGTAACGGTGATATAATAATACGTTTTTTTAAATGGGATAAAAATTATGACCTCTATAGGGTCCACAAGCTAAAAACGCGATTTTTCGTACAATCAGGGGCCATAATTCAGGAAGTTACGGTCCGATATGCGCGAATATCGAAAGGAACCGAGATCTTTGGGTTATAAACTTATATTTCAAGTTTCAACAAAATCGGATAAAAATTGTGACCTCTGTAGGGTCCATAACCTTGATATACCATATTTTTACGCTATTTGAGAACGAACGGCGGCCATTTTGTCGGTCAATTTTGGGCTGATTTTCACGAAATTCGAACTCAGCCTTCCTTAGGGTGTAACGGTGATATAATAATACGTTTTTTTAAATCGGATAAAAATTATGACCTCTATAGGGTCCACAAGCTAAAAACGCGATTTTTCGTACAATCAGGGGCCATAATTCAGGAAGTTACGGTCCGATATGCGCGAATATCGAAAGGAACCGAGATCTTTGGATTATCAACTTAGATTTCAAGTTTCAACAAAATCGGATAAAAATTGTGACCTCTATAGTGTCCACAAGCTAAAAACGTGATTTTTCGTACAAACAGGGGCCATAATCCATGAAGTTTCGATCCAATACATGCCAATATCGAAAGGAACCGAGATCTTTTGGAGATAAACCTATATTTCAAGTTTCGTCAAAATCGGATAAGAATTGTGACCTGTAGAGTGTCCACAAACAAATTGTGGACGGACGGACGTCCAGACGGACAGGGGCGACGACAATATACGTCCACATGAAAATGTGGGCGTATAAAAACCTTTTCTGCTGAACATTATATGGGGGGGGGGGGGTATTGGACCGGCCATGGAGCGATGATGATCATGTTGTATGTGGCCGGTGACTTTAACGGGCCGCCACGCCATCACTGGGGTCTGGAATGGGCTGGTATAATAGACTTTCTGGGCCGGGTGTGCTGGGTGTTGGCCGGAATTCGGAATCCTGCGATGGGGATTCCGAATTTCATCCGAAAATTTCATCGGATTCACCCGACGCTGTCGCCAGAAACGTCTGCCGATGGTTCGTAACTCAAAAAAAAAAAAATCAATTTTAAGGCCTCGGCAAAATTTGATGTTGCTGGTCTTGACGATACAATGATAATACGTTAATTAATATGACGATATGATATTTCACAGGTTGATGGTTGTAAATTACTTGCAGGTCGGGGTTTTGGCCTAAATTAATCAATTGATGAGATATATTATTTGACAGAGATTATAATCAGATATGCCACCAAATCGCATATTTGGTGTTCATTTTTCAAAATTTAATGGGGGAGAGCCCCCGGACCCCCCATCCGGGCTCCTCGGTCAGTAAAAGGGGCCGCTCCGACACGGGAGCCCGAGCCGGTTCCCGGCCTCAATCCGCCCCTGCGCCCATGAGTAAATAATAATATTAATCGAATATATAAACCTCAGAAATTTAACAGATACAAATAATGTACATGTTATTCCACAGGTAGACATACATTGAAGGTGCCCAGTGAAGGAGACGCAGTTGCTTTAGAGTTTGTCCGACACCTTTGGGTATTTGCGTCCCATACCCAGTGAAATAATCATGTTTTTACTGATGCTCAACTAGTATCAAATATATACTCTTCATAAAAAGTAGGGGATATTCAGAAACAAAACAAAACTGCGGAAATGCACTGCTGTTTTTATTAGAGGTAACCAGTGTATGTTAATAAAAGGCCAATGCCCTACACATGAATATAAACATTTCATATGGGCGGCTTATCTGACGGTCCCTTTCTCTGCACCAAGAATAATCATGATTTTCAACATTCCCATTCTGTCAAATTAAATTTTTTGTGTTTTGAGAGAATTGATCTGTGATCATGAATTGATGTTGTTACATACAGAATTGCAAGATTAATGTGTATCTCTAAAACAAGATTTACAATCCTCCATTAATAACAGTGGTGCATTTCCACGTTCAGATTGGCATTTCCATTGCCTCGGTATAGTAATTGATGTTTGTGTACAGTCTGTGATTCAGTTATGTAATAATATATTATGTTGGTTAATAGTGGGGGATCACGTGGCTAAGTGGGTAAGACGCTAGCTCTCTGGCCTGGAGGTCGGGTGTTCGATCCCTGCATTGGCCGAGAAAGTTCATCCAGATTTTCTGGCGTGGGTTCCCCTTGTCAGTGATGCAGAACGGAGGGCCTGACAAGGACAGCTGTCTAGTTGTTCGGATGGGACGAAAAACCGATGTCCTGTGTTTATTGGCGTGCACGTAAAAGATTCCTTGGCAGTTGGAATTTGATATAAGAGTAGGCCGTAGCGCCGCTGCCTGGGCAGAATTTCCCTCATAGCACACTGTATGGCGTATGCCTGTCTTCATTAGCCCAGTTTAGGAGGAGAAGAGTAGGACGTTGAACCCCATTACATTTCATTTCATATTGGTTAATAGGGGGGGTGGATGGCCGAATGGTTAGCACGCGCGCGCTGTATCATACGGTCTGTCATTGAGTCAACTGGCGGGGTTTCGATTCCCCGGTAGTACGTGACAAGGAGTAGGGTCACCTGTCCAACCTCGTGAGTTTTCTCCGGGTCCTCCGGTTTCCTCCCACTGCTAAAGACCCCTACCCGCAAGCGAATGATTGAAATAAAATTGAACCATGTGTTAGTCCCGAAATGACCTAGTTTGTGTCGAGTGGACGTTAAACCCCATTTCTCTCTCTCTCTCTCTATTGGTTAATAGTGGATTATTTGTAGATACTAGTTTAATCAAGAACCTTAAAAGAATAAACATGATTTTTTTCAACTGTAGTGTTATGTCAATTTAACAGAAATTGGTAAGCATAATTAGTTTACATTAAGGTTATGTAAGTGGGTGCATCGCTTTAAGTGTGCCTCTATGATTTGCCTATACATACTTCATGCATACTTATAAAGATATAATAGTCACATTTGATATCCCAGATTTTTTATCCAACTCATTCCTTTTACAGTGTCTCCTGAAAGAAAAATGAAAGAAAAAGTATTATATCTATGGCACTGTAACAGTGTAAGTTGAAACTGATTCACGTATAAAGTATTTATATCTTGCTTTCAGATACTGTGTTGTTTTTTTTGTTTTTTGGGATTTTTTTTTGGGGGGGGGGGGAGAAATAGAGAGATTGTAGTCATTTAAGATAATATTAACTAAAACTTGTCAGGAAATAAAACAAATAGTTACCTATTGGTTTATATTCTAATCCTATATAACCATCATAACTTAACTCATCTATTAACTTTAATATATAACTATAGTCAATTTCTCCCGGGGAATCTGGTTCTCCACGACTTGGTACCTGTGATATCTGAATGTGACCTGCAAATACAAATCAAAAAAATTATACAAAATAATTTTTAAAAATTCATGATATACACATGCTTTTAACTTGAAAGACATACCAAGATACTGATGACAGTTAAACTATTGTAATAGACAATGCAATGTTGAGAAACTGATGAACAAAATGTAAATTACCCAAATAATATAGGAATTTAGTACAGGCTATTCAAATTTTAAATACTGCACAAAGTGAATACTATACAGATGTTAACTACACTTTTCAAAAAATGTAGGGGATATTCAGAAACAATACAAAACTGCGGAAATGCACTGCTGTTTTTTTTTAGAGGTAATCAGTGTATGTTAATAACAGGCCAATTGCCTACATATGAACATAAACAGCTATATGAACATAAGCGGCTTATCAGACGGCCCCATTTCACTCGCAAAGAGATACATTGTCAAAAGTGAAAATTAACGTTTTTGATTTTTGTCTTAATAATGAGTAAATGCTCCACCGATCCTCAGAGATTCAGCAATTTGTCGTGGCATACTCCTAATCAACAGTCCAATAACGATTTGAGGCAATCTGACCCACTCCTCTTACAGTGCCACACTGTAAACACGTCTTCTGATCATGTCTGAGACATGCTCTATAGGAGAAAGGTCCGGACTCATGGCTGGCCAAGGCATATGGACAATATGGTGATGCTGGAGGTAGTCATTCACGACACGAGCGCGGAGGGAACGGGCATTATCACCTTGAAAGAAGAAATGTCGACCTGCACGTTGAGGATAGGGCAGAACTATCGGTGCCAGGATGTGGTCACGGTAGTACACACCCTTGAACCTTTCTTGAACAATATGCACGTCCGTTCTGCCAGACCCACGCCCGAATCTGTCACGCTGACGTTAACGTTAGCATGAGCTCATTTACACGCCTCCAAACGCAAGCACACCTATCGGTGAAATCCAGAGTAAATCTGGACTCATCTGAGAACATTACACGCGCCCATCGACGATTATCCCAATTTCTATGCTGCCTACTTCATTGATGCCTGTTTGCCATGTGCTGGCGAGTTAATGGAGGCACAACACGCGGTCGTCTCACATGCAAATGGGCTGCATGTGGCCGATTTCTAATCGTTTGGGGTGTAATTCAAATCGAATTCCTGTAACTTGGTATAAGTTTACAGAAAGCTCGATTCGCTGGACCTGTGTATGAATGTATCGATCCTGGGCTTGTGTAGTGGCTCTAGGACGACTAAAACAAGGTATATCATCAGCATTGTGTGTTTGTTGGTACCGGTTCCACAGTCTGCTGATCACATTAAGCAGTAAAGAAAATTAATGATTAACTTAATTGCTATATATAGGCCTACCTGTAATGGGTAAATATTTTTTAATATTATCAGTTAAATTACCATCCATAATTTGTAAATGAAATAAATCCTGTAAATCCAAAAAGGAACAAGCTGATGTCCCCTGCCGAAATCCCCAAATAAATAGATGACACATATTAATTTATCGCACATTTATTTTATTCAAAAGTTTCAAGCCATTAAACTGATTATCAACTATACACTAAGTTTCATCACTCTCTATCAGATAGAATCAAAGTTATATTGTCCTAAAGCATTGACCAATGAAATTGCTTAGCTTTAGCTCGAAATGTTAATCATTGAACTCAGAGTTTCATCACTCTCACATAATTATAACCAAAGTTATTGTGCCCCAAAGCATCAACCAATCAGATTGCTTATCTCTGCTTATCGTAAGCAGACAATGTTTATCATCAAACGTGATCAAGGCATCAATACCTAATGAACGCCTACACCAAGTTTGAACATTCTACCTCTATTAGAAAGAGAGTTATTGTGTCACAAAGTCTTGACCAATCAAATTGCTTATCACTCTGCTTACCCTGAGCAGAAAGTGCTCATTTTTGAACTTAGTCAAGGTATTGATGTGATAAAACTATACACTAAGTGTCCTCACTCTCCCTTAATTAGAACTAAAGTTATCGTGTCCAAAACCATCAACCAATCAAATTGCTTATCTCTGCTTACCCTAAACAGAAAATTCTCATCTTCGAACTCTGTCAAGGCATTCACTTAATAAACACCTATGCCAAGTGTGAACATTCTAGCTCAATTAGAATTAGAGTTATTGTGTTCCAAAGTCTCGACAAATCAAATTGTCTATTGCTCTGCTTACTCTGGGCAGAAAATGCTCATTATTGAACTTAGTCAAGGTAATGATGTAATAAAACTATACACCATAGTTCATCACTCTCACTTAATTAAAACTAAAGTTATCGTGTCCCAAACCATCAACCAATCAAATTGCTTATCTCTGCTAAAGCAGTGGACACATTAGCCGAATCGATCGGCCGAATCAATCGGTGCCGAATTTTATTCGGCCGAATGGGTGGACACACTAGCCGAATGCTTCGCCCGATTCAACCTGTCGATTGCATCACCTTTCACGTCACATGATTAAACATGACGGCGTCTATGTCTTCAATCTATCACGTGACTTCTCGATATGAGTGGTGATTGGCTAATGAATTCTATATTCGGCCGAATGCTTCCGTGAAGCGGACACACCAGGCGAATATAATTCGGCCGAATATATCAAACCTGTTTGATTCGGGCGAATCATTCGGCCGAATGACAGTGGATACACTAGGCGAATTTCGACGCCGATTGATTCGCCCAAATCATTCGGCTAGTGTGTCCACCGCATTACCCTAAACAGAAAATTCTCATCTTTGAACTCCATCAAGGCATTGACCTAATAAACACCTCAACAAGGGTGAACATTCTACCTCAATTCAAAGGAGAGTTATTGTGTTCCAAAGTCTCGGCCAATCAAATTGCTTATTGCTCTGATTACCCTTAGCAGACAATACTCATTATCGAACTTAGTCAAGGTATTGATGTAATGAAATTATACACCAAGTTTCATCACTCTCACTTAATTAGAACTAAAGTTATCGTGTCCCAAAGCATCAACCAATCAAATTGCTTATCTCGGCTTACCCTAAGCAGAATATGCTCATCTTCGAACTCCTTCAAGGCATTGACCTACAAAACACCTACACCAAGGAGAGTTATTGTGTCCCAAAATGTGTGACGGACAGACAGACGGACGAACCCATTTTAAAAGTCCCCTGTTTTCTTCGAAAGTTGGGGGACAAAAAATAATTCAGTAAAAACAAAATCTGAATTGTATTAATTTCAGTTGACAGAAATATATCAATCACCACATTAATTTTGTTCCCATAGACTTAAAGGTCACAGGAAAAGCTTCATAAATGTTTTGAATATTGCAAGTAATTATAGAAATATAGACTAAAAATATAGACTAGAATATGAGCATAAGGACTAAAATGACGTCACAGATTGTTTATTGACGGAGAGTTTTGACTACTCAAGGAGAACGGGGGAAATTACTTACGTTGGAATTTACCTGTCTCAGATAATATTGACATTCGGGTTCGTGTTATACTTATGGAAAGGATATGTTGACATATAGTTACTTGCATTAATTAAAAAAAAAAAATTGAAGCTTTTCCGGTGGCCCTTAAATAAAAGCAGAGATGAAAATGTACACAAGAAACTTTTGTTTATACTCTACATTTCTGGTAAAAAGTTTTCAGTTATACTATAATGTAAAATATCAATAGGAGTATTAAAAAATACTAACCAGTTGTAGTTTTAAGTTAGGGCGATTTAATACCCTGATATATTCAACAGCTAAAAAAAAGTTGAAAATATTCATTGAAAAGTCATGAACATATACTAAAACTGCTCATCATTACATGAGGGATTTGAATACCTTGCAAACTACAATATTGTGAAAGATAAATCTCTAAAATGAATGTTAATCCAAAAATGCTTCAACTGCCTCCTTAGACAACATAAATCCTACATATTAAAATTGGAGGTTCTTTGAAAAACAGCTAATGCTATTTTATTCCTATCATTGGAGGGGGGCGGGGGTTTGTGGATGGCTGCATCATATTAAGGTCTGTCATTGCGTTAACTGGTGTGGTTTTGATTCCCCAGTTGTACATGACAAAGTGTAGGGTTGACTGCCCAACCTCGTGGATTTTCTCTGGGTTACCCGGTTTTCTCCCACTGCTAAAATAAAATTGAAAATTGTTAGTCCGAAATGACCCAGTTTGTGTTGAGCGGAATGTTAAACCCCATTTTTCTCTCTCTCCTTTCATTTGGTTACCCATAGTTTTTGTCTCGCTTTCCCTTTTAAATCGCAATGTTTGTAGAATCAAAGAAAAGGGTTTGAATTTAAATTTTCTGCCATGTTTTTATCAATAGTCATGATTTTTAAGCGGAATGTTAACAGAGTTAAGAGGTTCATTATGTTGAAATGTACTATGGATTGTATGCTAACTTGATTAGACATCTAAATTGCAAATAATAAATTTTATATTGACTTACCTTTATCAAAATCATAAAGAAAATATTTGGGAAATGTTAACCGGTTATTGATTGGTTCAATTAATGCCATCATGCTTTCCTGAAAGAAAGGCATTTATTAGTTTTGATAAAAATATGATTCAAGTCTTTTACAAAACAAACACAAAAGTCCATCTTTGTTTTATTACACTGAAGGTAAAAAATATCCCTTTTTTTTATTTTAACCTGTTTAAAAATAACAATATCTCATAAAGCATATTTTATACCTTTTCTAACCTTTCAGCGGCATATTTCAAGTTTTCTAGATATGTCTTTTCCATTTCACGTTCAGAAAATTCTGATTTTAAGCCAGCCATTATGTGCATTCTAAAAATGGAAAAAGTATATGGTAGGTTCCATTTGATTAAACATACATTTAGGACAAAAAAACAAATACACCCACCTTCAGCAGTTCGCAATGTGCATGAAAGTCATCAAAGACAAGAGTAAGCTAATGCTACAAATGTTACCAGGTGAGAAAATAGCATTGGAAAAATATGACTGTCACATGCACCGAGATATGATCTCTAGTCTCAAGGGAACTTTTTCTTAAATATGTGACTCATTCTTTAGTTATCTTTATGGCTGTGTGACTTTCAGCATTGGGAGTAAAGAAAGACACCATCCTACCACTACCTAGCCATATTTGAAATGTGTTCAACAACATGGTATATTTTTGACAAAGTTCAGTTTTAGAAAATGTCTAGCATGTCTGGATAGATTAATAATTCATAAATATACCAGTAACACATATCTACCTTGTACATTGCAGTGACTTAGCAATTTGTATAGAGGTTTCAAGTTTCTCTTTAAATTCTGCTTCTCTTCCAGGTATAGCTGCTATACCAAGATCTCCATTGTTGGGGTTACCTAGAGAATAATTAGAATTTCAACCACCAAGAAATATTATATATCTCTTATACTATATATATCTTATACTAAATAAATTAACCAATTTTCTGAAAATGCAGGAACTGAGGGTTCAAGTTAATATTTGTCACATGTGTTTTGATCATCACACTTGGGCCAAATTACCAATTATAACTACCCTAGGATAGTATAATGATTTGTGCATAATAATGACATGTGCATTACTTTCAAATGAGCGTGATTCAAACCCCTACTTGACATTCACGATAAGGAATCTGTTTTCATATTGGTGGACTGGTGACAAAGGTTTCTACTATACATCTGAAGGTCTGGTATCTTTGTATTTCATGGGTTCGATACTAGATTTACACATAATGCAGGATCACCTGCCTAAACAGCCTCCTTGGTAATTTACTTTGACTTTGAGTACTTTGTTGTTTCCTGTGATCTACAGAATTATCGAAACACAATATTCCATACAATAGTCCCATTTTGTCCTGATGAGTGGGCAACCGTAAGTCATAAGGTGAGAAGATCAAGGTGTTACTTGCAAGCAACCAAAGCACACCACGGCTATATGAGACATATCTATTGAAAACACAACAAGTTAACAAGTGTGAATCAATTTTAAATTGGCTAAAAATAACAATTTTTTGAAAATATTAAACATTACGGGGGGCAGACATCGAACATTTGGGGTATTTGGCCATTAGCTTTTATAAAATTATAGAGATATATAGAAATTCGAGGGATATTAAAATATATACCCTGGTACGCATTTATTAAAACTTGATCCAAGCCCGATTTAGTTTTGGCTGTTGATATTTCTTCTGAATCTAGTCCAAACGGAAAAGCTGTTTCAACAAATCTAAACCCTGCGTTTTTTGCGGCTTCATAACGACTGCTGAGGCTAGGTAACTCTTGAAACATAAAAGACAGGTTTGCAGCAAACTTCAGTGGCATTTTGGAACGACTGTCAACGTGTATTAATGCCGTTGCAATCGTTCTTTTCGTCGCCAAAATTCTGCAAAACCATGATGTTATCATTTGGATGGGTCAAAGGTCAGGGTTATATTTCGCATCATACTAAACTTAGACTGCCTGTCTATACGTCATTGGTTAGCTTCGCTGAGCACTCGGCAAACCTCAGCATATTCTTGTACCTTACATCTATCCTCGGTGCTCCGCTGAGAACAGTCACTAACACTCGGACTTTCGGTGTGTGTTTGCTACTGGGCACTTGCGGATGTCCGAATCTAAGTTGATTGGCTTGAAATTGATACGTCTATCGTTCATGATATTTTATCGCCTTTGTTTTTTTTAGTGATTAGTCGTTACATTTTTTGATGTTTGAATCAATCCTAAACGAAAATTATGTCGCGATAATCGAGATTACATAGTCATGGAAATATTTACAGACGTCATTAATAAACAATATGGCGACAACCAGGTGCGTGTTTTTGTAAACAAATGATATATAGGCCTATTGATACATGATAGGCAATATTCAGTTTTAAATGTCCATTTTGTTTAATTTTAATTGATATAACCAATATTACCCACATTATACTTTACTGTAAAGGTATTTTAAAGACCAGGGAATGAATTCCATGATAATTATTATTGCTGTGACGCTCTGTGTAGGCTATTTCAATTTTCAGTCGGGGCCCTCTTCTTAGCTACGAGAACTTAACTAAAAACGCTGAGATCATATACATGTATATATATATATATATATATATATATTCATCAGGTAATACCTCGACTGAGTTCAATATAGAGATTAGCCGGTTGATTTGTTGGATATAAACCTTTGAATAATAGCGCCTAACAGGCAGCTGTGTTTAATTGTGTTTAATTATATTCTCCTGATTTTGATTGTTTCTGTGTGTTTGAAGTATATGTTTTAGATATGTGCTTAGAAACACTTCACGTGTAATGAAGCGCTATATAAATCGAACAATAATAATAATAATAATATACTGATGTGCTTGTTTTTAGCTACGATCGGATGCCTTTAGTTCCAAGTGGCAAACTCAATTTCTTTATTAATGCATGAACCATCTTAAAAATAAGTTAATTTTATGGCAGTGGATATTTAACCGTATACGGCACTTTACTTTTTTTACTATTTTGCCATACGCTTCCGTTTAACATGCGCAGTTCTCTGATACTTGGCCATAGCAGTTTTCGCATTGGCAATGCCGTCTGACATTAACCCAAACCCAAAACCTAACCCTAACCCAACAGTTCTATTTGTTTTTTGTCTAATGTTGCTCCTTTTTCCGTTTCTTATAAAGGAACGAAATAGCCATACTTGAATTTCTTTGGTAGAAACTGGAGAATTATTTTTTTAAAGAAAATAAGATAAAAAATGTAAATTGTAGAAAAGCATTTAGAATATTATTCTATTTTGGTCAAGGGCGCATTTCTGCGGATTTTGGTTTTTAATTAGGTACTAGGTTTAGGTTTATGTTTTTTCCGTAAAATCGTGCTTCTGCGCCAAACTTGAAAGACGAGTTACCAATATGGTGGTATATATCTGTACTTTCCGCCATTTTGAATCAGAAACGATGTATGGTAAAATAGCGGAAGTAGATACTTTGCCGTATACGGTTAAATATCCACTCCGTAATTTTATACTATTAGTACTTATTACACATACGCAGTCCAATCTACTGAAACAACATTCATTTATCAGCAAATATTGACAATAAAGTAAATCAAGCATTGTTTTTATCAAAATTGATTCCGACGATCATTATTACGGGGCAAGCCTACGGCGTATTACTACTGCGCAACTCTGATCAGATTAGTACTTTGATTGGCTATTGCACACGAGGCCTTGCCTTTATGTGTTACAGACGTAAATTTAAAATGTCGGAAAAACCTAGCAATCTACTGTCGCTTTGATTTAAAAAGAGGGGATTTGTACCCGTGTCAGGTAGGATTATATGCTTAATTGTAGTTGGGTGTGGCAGAAATATTATAAATAATCCTATCCGCTGAGGTTTCATAAGTATTATCTTTGGGCTTGGTAATGACCAAGGGGAATCTAAATTATTTTTATAATTGAAACTACTTGGTAATTGCGATCACTGCTACAGTGACATAAAAATATTGTTTATGTGTCTACTGCGATACAAATTTTATCGCTCAGAATGCATCACTTTGTTAGAGCTCTAACCAGTTAATTATCAACAATTAAGTAGGCCTATTTATTATACGCCTCCCAAAATTCCCATTCTTAACAATGGCCAGTGCATAATATTGACACCTTTCAGTTTCTGCTGTAGAAAGTCCTGAGTAACTCTGGCGGTGTGGGCACAGGTGTTGTCATGCTGGAAAACATTGTTTCGATGACGTGCGAAATGTGGTATGACGTGGGGTCTGAGAGCTTGATTGATGAAGTGCACTGCTGTGATGCCGCCTCCTCTCCCTGGACCAAGATTTTGGTCAGAATAGCGCTGACCACGTCAACGCCATATTCTGGTCCTGCCATCTGCAGTTGATACGCAATACCGACTCTCATCTGTGAACAGAACAGTTCTCCATCGCCCGTGTCGCCAGTTCTGGTGTTGTTGGGCAAACTGTAGACGTTCACATCGAGGATTGGTCCACGGTAAAGTCTACGGCAATGGATGTTCTCTCTGGTGAGACGTTGGCGCACCGTATCGGTACTGATGGGTCTTCCGTGTGTTCCCTCTGTCTGACGTGCTGTCTCAGATGCCTGTGTGAAGGGATTCTGCACGTGCTGTCGCACAACATGGCGGTCTTGTTGCCTTGTGGTAACCCTTGGTCTACCAGTTCGAGGGTGATCATCCGTAGTGTTGGTGGCCCGAAAGCGTTGCTGAAGCCTGTAGATGGTCCGAATATTGACCTGGAAGTGATTGGCAACAGCTTGGGCAGTGTGGCCAGCGTCGAGTCTTTCAAGCGCCTGGTTCCTCTGAGCTGTCGTGAGTCGTGGTATGCTGCTGACCTTCTAGTGTGAATGATTCAACCATTTATGGGGGTGCATTTTATAGGGCTGGTCCCGGTGAACAGCTCATGCAGCATGAGTTATATGAAAATCATGGAGAACACATTACCATCTCAGAAGTCAGGTTGCGTTTTTGAGAACATATCCTGGGTTCAATCCTGTGTTTTGGAAGGAGCCTTATTGCTCAGGTAAAGTGGGAGATGTGGTCACATATTCATGTATACAATAAAAACATTTGGCAAGTTTTATGCACTGCGTCTATTCAGAGTAACATACCAACCCGACGTTTCTTTTGCTGCTTAGTATCTTAATTATACTGTTTTTTTTACATGTATTATAATCATTGTATCTGTTTCCAAATTTCAGATATTATTAATGAGTAGTCTACATGATTAAAATCTTGACTAGCAATGGCATCAAAAAAGGCAGAGGCATCACCTCTAATGTTTAGAAGTCATGATGAAATTGAAGAGGATTCTATAAAACCGGAACAAGAACTAGCTAATGCTGTGTCAAGAAAGAAAAGAAAACGAAGAACATCCTTGATTATAAATGACAGTATAATTGTTATACTTGAATTTTTCCAAATATGGGCTTTAATACAATCAATGTCGTTAAAATGGACATATCCATTCTCATGGCTTCAATCCACAAACTTTATATTTTTTGTTAATCTGGATTTCTGGGAATTTGTTAAAGTGAATAGTGGTGCCTTTAAAGGAATTCAAAATTATAATCCACCAAGTTCAGATGTGCCCTTTAGTTATAACTATGTATTACTTGCAATGGGTTTGTTACTATTCCTTATAGCAGCTATTTTGCTGATTATCTATGCTGTGTTAAGATACAGAAAAAGACCGTTTCTGTTTGTACATGTAGCAAGAATGTCAAGGGCTTTGACAATTGCCTGTCAGGTACTAACCCTACCTATTGGTGTTGTTATATTTCGTTTGTTTCACTGTAATACAATTGGAGAGGTAGACGTTTTGAATGAAATGAAATGTTTTGAAGGTTTACACTGGCTGTATATCGTACTGGCGGTCTTCATCATGGTGGCACTCTTTCTGGTATTTCCTGCTTGGATGATTTACAGAATTCGTAGAGAGGTTTTAGCATCAACAGTCGATCACCATGAGAGTTACCTGCAGTTGAAAGAAATGGAATACATGTCAGGATTAGACGTTGTTTGGGTTGTGAAAGGATTCCATTTATTTTCCTCCTTCAATCTACGTGCAATTTGGTATCGGCCCATCATGCAAATTTTTAAATTGACTTTACTTGTTGTTTACACAGCAGCTTTTTCACATATCTTTGCTCAAGCTATAGCCACCGCATCTGTTTTATTTGTATTTTGGCTGCTGATTTTGATACTTCGACCTTTCAGGCTTACAAGTTTTAATGTTCTGTTGGGTTTTGGCTATTTGTGTTTAATAGGAGACGCTGTATTTGGTTCCAGCATTGCTTCATACAAACCATCTCAAGTAGCCTCACCTTGGCTTGTACAACCATATGATAGTTATGTCTTGACTTTCGTAAACTCACTTATGGTTTTTTCCTGTTTGGTTTTTATAATTCACCTGACAGTCTATCAGATTTGTTGTTATCAGAAATATGGCTATGATCCTTTGTGGCCATCAATGGCCTCCAGAAACAACTGTCAAATAAGCAAAGAAACAAAGAAATTCATGTATGCAGTTTTACAAGGAAGAGCAGTGTTAGGTGAGTAAAGGGGCAATACCACAGTTTACAAATTAGATGCCATAATGTGAAGAAATGTTCCAATTTGCTTGTTTGTAAATTTCAGCTTAAAATATCGAGCCATTAGAAATGATCGCTAGGGTTTTGTGTCATTCATTTAAAAACTTCTACTGTTTAGTTGTATAAGTGACATGGTAAACATGACAATCTCTTACCACCAGTCATCAAAAACATTTAGAAAATATAGTTTGTATTTCTGCAAAGATGTACCACAGTTTTACAGGACTGGGAAAAGGGTTTCTATGAATGATTCATTCATACATCTCCTGTAATTATTTCAGATATATGATAGTTGATGATGTTTTTATATACAGTTCATTTTTAAAAAACGAAATGTTAAATTGATGTTTTGTTTATAGCTTCAACCAGGTCTACTTCTGATGATAGATTAATATATAAGTTATTTTTGGATACAGAGAGGTAAAGGGTTGGGGAAGTACATTGAGCCCCCTTGGTACTATAGCCTTGTTTAAAAACAAAGATCTGATGTTATTTTATGTATCTAAGTCTTCTTGTCTGGAAATCTACCATACATGTACTTTTACTTATTTTACACTAGGGGGACAGACCACCAAGCATACTTTGCAGTTATCCAAATGAATGTATTGTGATGTTGATTTTTCAGAAAAATGCAGAACAATGGCTGCATTGTTTACTCCAATACATGAACTTACCCAACAAATACAGATAATAAATGCTTATCTTCGAGAAGCTGAGAAATTACAAGATGGCTTTCATGATACATTATGGGATTTGTTAGATGAGATGATTGATGCTCATCATCAGCTGGAACCTAAATCTTTATTTTCTGGTGAGTATATTATACATGTTGATACTCCATTAGTATTTTATCATTTATGACACTGGGTTACTTATCAAGAGGTCTTGGGCTCGGTGTGGCCCGAGGAAGTTCCTCAGAATTTTCCAGCCTATTTTTCCCATGTCAGTGGTGCAGGATGGTCGTGAGCCTGGCAAGGAAAAGTGTTTAGTTCAGATGGGATGAAACTTCGTGGTCCACCTGAATACCCATTGGCTTGCATGTAAAAGAACCCATGACATACATTAAAAAAAGATTTGAAGACATTAATCCCTGTTCTTTATGTACATTGTCAGGGGCGTAAATGTGGGGTTGCAAAATCAGTACAGTCGGTAGAAAAATAAGAGCATGCAAAACTTTAGTATAAAATAACCTTGTCAACTTATCATGTTTGAAAAAATGTTGTGTTTCACTCTTATTCTGTTGTGAGTATGTTGGTCTAAGAACAAAATTTCCCCCAAGGAGAAAAATAAGTGCAGCCACTGCAGTCGGTCTCAAAATTATGCATCGGCGACTTAATGAATTAATGAGGTAAACAAACAATGCCAGAATAGATCCCAAATACTATACTATGTATTTGCGTGAATCTGTGAGCCTAAATTGCATACGTCACACAAAACTATAGTATAAAATAACCAAGTCTGCTTGTCACGTTTGAAAAAATGTTTTTCACTCTTATTCTGTTGTGAGTATGTTGTTTTAAAAAATGTTTTCCACCGATGGGAAAAAAATAGTCGGTCTCAAAAAGTGCTCACTGCAGTCAGTCTCAGAGTAAATAAATTAATGAGGTAAAGTTTACCTCAAACATGACAAGCTGACTAGGTTATCTTATACTATACCGTTGCAATTTAGGTAAACAAACAATGCCAAAATAGAAGGGAAAAATTTTGTGTGAATGCTTGCACCTAAATTGCAACGGTATAGTATAAGATAACCTAGTCAGCTTGTCATGTTTGAAAAAAAAATCCCTGTTATGGATATGTTGTTCTAAAAAATTGAGAGAGCTTGTTATGAAGATTTTGATATTTCAAAATATATTCTTGATTGTCATACAAATAATATTAGTCGAACAGTTGGTAAGAAGTTATCGGAAGTATAGTTTGTTTCAGAAATACGTAAAAAATCTTTAAATTATGAAATTTTAAGGCGATCTATTTCACTTAAGAATTTTTACTCGTTGCATATTCAATCCCAGGAGAAATTGAAACGTTTTTTACTCATGTTGTAAGTGTTTTCTGATTATAATTCCATTATAACATCATTCTTCCAATCCTCTGTTGTCTTATACTGTCTCAGAACTAGCATATTCACAGTTAAAGTGAACTGCCCAGTTAGTAGTACCACTGGTGTGTGGGACGTGGGGCGTCAGACTCTTGCAAAACAGACGGAATTGACAGGGACAGATCTTGAGATTCTGTCCCATTTACTCACATTTCTGGTCCTCTAGTCCACAAGAATTTCTCCCAGCAATGACCTCAAATGCCAGGATATTGATTCAATTTTTCAAAATTTTCTCAGGTTGCTCAGTGTTATAGCCACAATCATCATATATGACATGAATTGTATGTCAACTTAAATAAAACTGCTAACCGGCTAGACAACGATTGGCGGACAACTATATAATTACCGGTATAGCCAGTATTTTGTTGACATTCATTGTGAGGTGGGATTGTGGATGGCATCCTAGATTTGGAAACTCCACCACCCCCACCCCCACCCCCTATTCCCAGCTTCTAGATCCGCTACTGCACATGGCCCCTAGGAAACTCGCACCTGTGGTGCTCGACTCTTGACTGCGTCACTCGTACTAGGGGCATGTGCATCAGTCGGTCACATTTTGTCCAAATACCCCCCCCCCCAAACAAACTTGTTATGTACTTTAGTAATGATGATCGAGGCTAGGCTTAAATTCAAAAGCTAATATCTCGGGTCAGAGTGGAGCAATTTGACTGAAATTTTCAACATATTCTATTTACGTTATCCACATTATCATGTATTATGCCGTTTGTGGACACTCTACAGGTCACAATTTTTATCCAATTTTGACGAAACTTGAAATATAGGTTTATCTCCCTAAGATCTCGGTTCCTTTCGATATTGGCATGTATCGGACCGTAACTTCATGGATTATGCCCCCTGATTGTGGTTGAGTTTGAATTTCGTAAAAATCGGACCAAAACTGCCGGAGAAAATGGCCGCCTGTCGAACACAAACAGTGTAAAAATATGGTATATCAAGGTTGTGGACCCTCTAGAGCTGACAATTTTGATCCGATTTTGATGGAACTTGAAATACATGTTTATAACTCAAAGATCTTGGTTCCTTTCGATATTTGCACATATCGGATCGTACCTTACTGAATTATGGCCCTTGACTGTATGAAAAATCGCGTTTTTAGCTTGTGGTCGCTCTAGAGGTCACAATTATTATCCGATTTAAAAAACCATGTGAATATATCACCGTTACACCATAATGATGGTTGAGTTCGAATTTCGTGAAAATCAGACCAAAACTGACGGACAAAATGTCCACCCCTTATATAACGCAAATGGTGTAAATTTATGCTTATATCACAAGGATCTTGGTTCCTTTTGATATTCGCGCATATTGGATCGTAACTTCCTGAATTATGGTCCTTGATATGAAAAATTGCGTTTAAGCTTGTGGTCCCTCTAGAGTTAACAATTTTTATCCAATTTAAAAAAAACGTTTGAATATATCACTGTTACACCCTAATGATGGTTGAGTTCGAATTTCGTGAAAATTGGACCAAAACTTCCGGACAAAATGGCCGCCCCACCTACTCTAATAGTGTAAAAATATGGTATATCAAGGTTGTGAACTCTCTAGAGGTCACAATTTTACACCTGATTTGGATGAAATGCATGTTTATAACCCAAAGATCGGATCGCAACTTCCAGAGTTATGGCCCCTGATTGTACGAAAAATCGTGTTTCTAGCTTGTGGTCCCTCAAGAGGTCACAATTATTATCTGATTTAAAATTTAAAGAATGTTCGAATATGTCACCGTTACACCGTATTGTTGGTTGAGTTCGAATTTCATGAAAATCGGACCAAAACTGCCAGACAAAATGGCCACCCCACCCCCAGTACGCAAATAGTGTAAAGATCTGGTATATCAAGGTTGTGGACCCTCTAGAGGTCACAATTTTGATCTGATTTTGATGAAATGCATGTTTATAACCCAAATATCTTGGTTGCTTTCAATATCTGATCGAACATTCCTGAATTAGGGCCCGCGATGTTACGAAAAATCGCTTTTTGTTTAGCTTGTTCTCTATCTATCTCTTGAAAAATGTGGGCGTATCCTGCCTAGCAGCCGCCAGCCGCTGGTTATCTGTTTTTGTTGAAATTTGAAATTTGATCTTGGTTCCTGTCGATATTCACACATATCTGATCGTACCTTCCTGAATTATGGCCCTTGATGTTACGAAAAATCGCTTTTTGTTCAGCTTGTTCTAGATGTATGGCCCACGTTTCACTTTACAGAACCCTGTGAACACTCTAGCGACAGAAGTTGACATCTGACCTTTATTTACATTAGTAAAATAAAGAAGTCTATTGAAATTCATGTACATCGTTTACCTTTGTGAGACGAAGAAGCCTTTTTAAATTCAACAATTTCCGACAATTCCTTCTAGAGTTATAGTCCTTGTATAATGTGTAGAACCTTTTGAATGCTCAAATAAGAAAGGTTATTATCCAATCTGTTTAATATTGATATGGGTGTCTTGTAAATGCTCTCATTACCTACAAACGAATAAATATGTGACAACCCTTGTCAACTTCTCGGATGAATGAGCTGCTTGGCAACCTATCTTTCTTAAAATTTGAATAAAATCTTGCTATTATCCTTACTGAAACATAACTGTCTTTCAACCTGAAAGAAAATCTATTGTTAGTAATGGAAGATTAATTATTATGACCAGACTCTTACGTAAATTCTTCTGACACATTGTCATTATTTTTTATGTTGACGTTTCCAGACAATGTAAAGGAATCGATCAGAAATAATGCTGCAGAATTTCTCAAGTTGATGCCAATGTTTTCAAGACGTCTAGCACAGAGAGATTATGATTATATATTGGTATCGCCATTGAAGAAAAGACTTCTGCTGAAAATGAATATAATTGGCATGTTTTTGTATGGTAGAAAAGAGAAAATGGCCAGACATAAAATGGTGTATCCTGAAATACAGAAAATATGGCCTAAATCTTTACTGAAAAAAAAGAATGACAAGGGTGAGTTGTGATCATTATTGATATATTCAAACCTTGTAAATTCACCAATAGGAAAACACATGTGGTTGAAAGTGAAAGTTTGATTTTCTAGCCACTTCGATTGGAACTGTATTTTTAATACTACATTTAGATGATATTCATTTGGTATTTGAATGATTATTGTATTATATAGGATATGTAATACACATTGTATGATTTATTGTATTTTGAATTATTTACTTCTTGGAATGTTTCATATTTTGACACTATTTTAAAACTAAAATTTGTCATTATAGATGGTGAATATTGTGAAGATTTGTATCCAGAGCGTCTGCTTGGACCAGATGCAGAAGAAATGTTTGAATCATCCAGTCTATATTTACCATTAGAGCTCATGGAATTAGATGAGGTGTGTATTGTTTTATTTCATTTAAAATAAAGAAAAACCTTTTTTTTTTAGCAAACTAAATTTTTTTATACCATTGATACTAGTATTCCAGTATTTGATTCTATAGTCTTCAGATTCCCATAAGAATTAGGTTTGATGACTTTGAAACTGGAGATACTTGTATATCTTTTATAATTCTATTTTAACAGGATGAAGAAACTGAAAGTATTTCCACTCTATTACGACCAAGTTCTGCACACACTGACTTGAGATCATTGTAAGTTATTCTTATACGCCCACATTTTCATCTGGACGTATATTGTCGTCGCCCCTGTCCGCCTGTCCGTCCGTCCATCCACAATTGTTTGTGAACAGTCTACAGGTCACAATTTTTATCCGATTTCAAAGAAACTTGAAATATAGGTTTATCACCATAAGATCTCGGTTCCTTTCGATATTGGCATCTATCGAACCATAACTTCATGGATTATGGCCCCTGATTGTACGAAAAATCACGTTTTTGGCTTGTGAACACTGTAGAGGTCACAATTTTTATCCGGATTTGTTGAAACTTGAAATGTAAGTTTATAACCCAAAGATCTCGGTTCCTTTCGATATTCGCGCATATCGGACCTTAACTTCCTGAATTATGGCCCCTGATTGTACGCAAAAACGCGTTTTTTGGCTTGTGGACCCTATAGAGGTCATAATTTTTATCACCGTTAAACCCTAAGGACAGTTGAGTTCGAATTTCGTGAAAATCGGCCCAAAACTGACAGACAAAATGGTCGCCGTTCGTTCTCAAATAGCGTAAAAATATGGTATATCAAGGTTGTGGACCCTATAGAGGTCACAATTTTTATCCGATTTTGTTGAAACTTGAAATGTAAGTTTATAACCCAAAGATCTTGGTTCCTTTCGATATTCGCGCATATCGGACCGTAACTTCCTGAATTATGGCCCCTGATTCTACACAAAAACGTTTTGGCTTGTGGACCCTATAGAAGTCATAATTTTTATCCGATTTAAAAAAACATATTATTATATCACCGTTAAACCCTAAGGACGGTTGAGTTCGAATTTCATGAAAATCGGCCCAAAACTGACAGACAAAATGGCCGCCGTTCATTCTCAAATAGCGTAAAAATATGGTATATCAATCAAGGTTGTGGACCCTATAGAGGTCACAATTTTTATCCGATTTTGTTGAAACTTGAAATGTAAGTTAAAAACACAAATTGAAATGTAAGTGTATAACCCAAAGATCTCGGGTTCCTTTTGATATTCGTGCATATCGGACCGTAACTTCATGAATTATGGCCCCTGATTGTACGAAAAATCACGTTTTTAGCTTGTGGACCCTATAGAGGTCATAATTTTTATCCGATTTAAAAAATCATATTATTATATCACCGTTACACCCTAAGGACGACTGAATTCGAATTTCGTGAAAATAGGCATAAAAATGACAGATAAAATGTCCGCCCTTCGTTCTCAAATAGCGTAAAAATTTGGTATATCAAGGTTGTGGACCCTATAAAGGTTACAATTTTTATCCGATTTTGTTGAAACTTGAAATGTAAGTTTATAACTCAAAGATCTTGGTTCCTGTCGATATTTGCACATATCGAATTGTAATTTCCTGAATTATGGCCCTTGATTGTAGGAAAAAATCACTTTCGTTTTAGCTTGTTTTCTATCCATCTCTCGTAAATGTGGGCGTATCCTGCCTGGCAGCCGCTGGTTATTTTAAAATAAGAATTAAAATATGGATGCCATGTATTTGGTGACATACCGTATTTTTCGGTGTATTAGGCGCATGCATAGATAAGGAAGGCGCAAGGCGAGTTTGGCAGAGGTGTTTCAGGAAAAAATAAAAGTGCATGGTTTAGGCACACCCTGACTCAAATACACCTGCGATCTCCAGTAACTGGGCCAAACTCTATTGTTTACAGTTATAATAATTGCTGATATTTAGCCGTATCAAGCTTTATATATATATTTCTTTGTTCAATAAAAAAAACTCTACAAACATTTTTTTAATTGCATAAGACTTTATATTAATTATAACTTTCAATTGCATTGTTTCATAACTTTCAATGGTAATTCTGGCGCTCGTATGGTAGTCAAATTGTCGTTAAAGTCCCGCCCACAACAAACATCGCTGTCTATTACATCCTGTCACATTCACAAGCAATTAGCCGTGATAAATGAATAGGTATTGATGATAAACAAATGAAATAATAACTGTAGAAATAATTTATCATGATCAGCTACTCATGACTTAAATCCTGACTACCGGTAAAAGAGAAACAATAATTCTAGTTTACTTTATACTATCCAAACAACTGACAACGATGGCGTCCATTGCCCCGCCCACTACACGCGGCATGACAATACCTAGATTATAGCCATGTAGATCTATCAGTAACATAAAACAATAGCAGAACACAATTTTAATGGGAAACAATCACTGGTTTTATTCTAAAAGCACGACATTTCGACAAGTATTCTCTTATCGTTATCAAAACAGTAATTGAATGTCATTAGATAAGAGAACACGAGAAAAATAGAAATAGTCCTACATTCCCTTGTTTTTATTCATTCTATACTTAATAAAAACATGGTATGCACAGACTTTTTCTATTTTTCTTTCATGTTCTCTTATCTAGTGACAGTCAATTCTTTTTATGAATTGTCAGATATCCTCTCACAGTTTCACACAACTTTTGGTCTTCGAAGGAATTATTAGTGAGCAGAAATTTGCCCTTGTTTCTGTTACCAACCGTCACTTCAGTCAGTTATATAGAGGGATAACTTGTGTTTTCCTTTTGCGTTCGTCACTTCCAATTGATGAAACCTGCATTACGCATCTATTGTAGCAATGATCTCTGTGTTAAAATTATATTTGGAACGTGTTTAACCAATTCTATCACATATGTGATAATGACTGACACCAATATTGTCCTTTAAGTAACACTTTTTATACTGTTCATTTGGTAGGCAAAGTTTAAGAACCCTCTGAAACTTTTAAAAAATTTATCACAAATTGCCCAGTTTATCAAAACTTACATCAGACCAGATAACAATTGTCCAAAGGATTTTTGTGAAAACTTTCTGGCCCATTCATTCAAGGATTAACCATATCCCATCATAGGATATTAAACCAGTGATTGGATTTTCTTGTCAGACATTTTTTCCCCAAAATAAAGGGGCATAACTCTTATCGTTATTTAAGCAGGCGTTTTCAAACCACAATTAAGAATCAAAATCAAAACATTCAAATTCATACGTAATAAAAAATAGGTGAACCTCGTTATTTTCATGTATAATTCGCGTACGGTATTCAAATTTATGTCAAGAATATTCCTACAAACTTACGTGACATCGTAATACCATAGAATGAAAGATTGTGCCGACTACTGCTGATCCGTACTGGTTTCAAATTTCTCCAAAATTACTGTATTTTTCGGGTCATAAGTCGATCAATTTTTCAGCAGAAGTCTGGCATTCGTCTTATACTCCGCTTCAAATTATATACGAAAGGTAAAAAAATGACATCCCAAAATTTATTTGGCAGTAAACGTCGCTCTACCACAACGAGTGAGTCACACCAATTGCTAAATAATTGCTTTCGACTCTAGCGTGCGCTATCGTCTAAAACAATTAACTACTTACATTATTCCAATCGAAATATTCGTCAACATTTTTTAGCATGTTTATTTATTTAAAAACATAAACCTCATTCAAAAATATGGTCATAAATCCGAGAATATGCCATCAAAATAGAATCTTTCCTCTGACATCAGACGTATTAGATTCGGCACGTTTACATCTCTTAAATTCACGTGTCTCGCGAGATTTCTACTTTCATTTCAGTTATTGTACTATAACCGCCATGCGTGTGTATGAAATAGCTTTATTTAACTTCGGCTTCCACCAAAGAAATATCACAGTCAAGTTATCGGACACAATGTATATTGATTTGGGGTGTTATATACTATTAGGATATGTGACATATATGATCAATTCCTACGTGTTGTCGGCCGACATCAAGGAAATTGAAACGTCCGACAATGGAGAAATCACAGGTTAATCACGTAGATTAAGTTTATAATCACTCTTATTGGATTGATACATAGTCCGACAAAGGAGAAGCAATGACTTCTGTTCAGGATTGTATTGATGAATTGTCCGACAAAAGATTAAGTTAGCCAATCAAAGCAGATTAAGTAGTTAATCATGGTAGGTGTATAGACGGTATAACATGATAAATACGTTGATCACTTAATTACCTAATCAATCCAGCCTATTATTAACGATAATCGGGTTGAGTGGTAGTTATACACACAGTAGACTATATTCATTTTGAAATTTTGAATATTATTCACCATGTCTTGATGTCCAATTGGGCATATTCCTGGTCGGACAATTTAGGACATTTGGAAAATAGCGTCGGACATATCCAGAATATACGGGCGAAATCCCATCACTGCATTAAACCCCATTTCATTTCATGACACATGCTGTGAATTTGTTTAGCCTGGTTGTTGGTGGGCATATTAGTAAGTCTGGTAAGCCCTGTCCTTGTTTATCATGGTTGTCAAACCATTTCTGATGTTTTAAATATATCTTTCATTCAGATCTAACAGTGTTGTATCTCTTAGATCAGGAAAATTTAACCCAGCTTTTGAAAGTGATGAAAATCAAACCGATAAACAGACATTGATTTTAACTGATATGGAGATAGGCGAATCTTCTGATGATATCCCACAACAACACCCTTATCAACCTGATCTTATTTGTTTATCTGATGAACCTAAAATGGCTGAACTAATATCATTGGTTGATGAGACAACTGAAGATAACAACATTAATAATTTTGAAGTCTCCACTTTAAGTATTCATGGTGCAGATGTAGGGGACACAACTACAGAAAATGTATCTTCTGGTATGTAAATGGCATATTACATCTGGTCCGTCTATCATTACAGTTTACTTAATGTTCATATTGTGTGCCAATACTCAAAAATATCCCAAGTAAACATATTCAATTCATTTATGAGCAGTAGAAAATGGCTGCAAGTACCATAGTCAATTAAACAGTTTATGTTCACATGTGCAAAAACAATTTCTACCGGTAGATATATTCACCTGAAATATTTTAAGAAGCTTTTTGTTTTCAGGAATTGATGAAGAAAAGACAGATATTCTAAAATCAGAACAAATAGAACCAAAATCTATAACCAGTCATAGAAAAGGAATGGGAACTAAAATGAAGAAGTAAACAATTTGTGTCTTTACGGTTTACTGTCTAATATATGCCAACAATCAAAATATATCAGAATGTTAACTTATTCAATTTACTTAGAAAATGGGTGTAATTACCATAGCCAATTAATTCATGGATGTATTTCATGTATGTGTAGATAAATTCAAATGAAATGTTATACAAATGTTTTTTTGTCTTTAGGAAATGATGAAGTAAAGAAAGATATACCTGAGAATCAAAATCTAAAACTGGTCAAGGAAATGGAGAAGTAATTTACAGTTTGCTATCTGATAAGCTTTCAATCTTCTGTCTGTGATATCATGAAATTATTTTTTGCATATTTTTTTTACATTTATATATATATTATATGTGTGTATTTCATGTATTTATTCTTTTGGTATTATATCTAATTCTATATATTGTTTTGTGACGTAGGCGTACCCAATTTTATCATCATAATGTGATATTTATATCTATTTTAATGGTTAATGATTATTTAGTAAACTGTGAAAATTATTATATATTAAATGTTGCTTTTACTTGTTCATATGATATTGACATAGTTCAATAATTAAGCAAATATCTTATGCAATTATTTTGGCTTAAAGATCGCATAAAATGAACACATAAAAGTGCTATGTGCAGGAAGCCAATTTGGTCCTATTTATACCTAACCAATTATTTGATACATGAATGTTTCAAGATTGTCTTGTACTCCTGTTATGTCACATGAACTAAACTTGAGGACATCTAACATACATGAACATCTGGCCTATTTTAATTCACATCATGGTTCAATTAACTCTAGCTTAGCTTTCTAGATTAATCATTACATATTCCCAACTTAACAGATAAAATGTGTAAATTAAAAGTTATGTATGAAATGTAACGGACCATTTTCTTTGTTATATTTTATTATGCACATTGATTGATAACCAGTCTGACCATAATAAGTACACTGACAAGTTTGTATAACAATGTATAGAGGTTTAGAGCACTATAAGCTTCTGACAAACGTTTGGTCTCTGTGATGCTATATACTGTGTAATTGGCAAATTGTTTTCTTGGGTAGAGCTATATGGGCTAAGTTGAGTGAATTTATCTCAATTAATTACAAATTCAAATGGTTTAATCCATTCGCCTGTCTGTCTGTTACACTCTTTGGGACACCTTAACTTTGCATCTGATTAAAGTAGAATACTCAAACTTGATGTAGTTCTTCATTAGGCAAATGCCTTGAAGTTTGATGATCAAACTTGGTGACATGTAAGTTCAATTTAGAGCATTCTCTGCTTAGGCTAAGTTTGGCTGCTGTATGCTTTACAAAAACATAAATGTGCAAGTAATTAGTGTATCATCTATTTATTTTGGAATTGAGACTGGTGATAAAATCACAAGATCTTCAAGAACATACCATTTTCATATGTTTATTTATGTGCTCTTTTAAGTTTTTTCTTCATTAAACATTGATGTTCATCTTTTTATTTACTGCAATATTTTTCTATTCAGTGTAATTTAACACATGGTTGTGAAATAAACAAGATTTAATCACATTTATAAGTTGTCTGAAATTGGCCATGAATTCGCATTTTAAAATTCAAGAGATATACATGTATATGGCAGCTATGTGAGCGGAATGTTGCCAAACCCTGAATATTAAGAGAGTTTGTCTGCTAATGTAATGACCACATTGCTTCACAGGGGGAGTCAGGTGCCCGAATGGTATAATGCATGGCGTGGTTTCGATTCCCTGCTTCTAGTTCTATGTGACAAGGAGTAGCGTTGCCTATAAAACCTCATGAGTTTTCCCCTGCGCACAAGCAAATTTTACATCTTACTCCCAAAATGACCTAGTTTTTGTTGAATGGATGTTAAAACTCCATTTCTCTCTCTCCAATGCTTCACACCAGATTTGAAACCACTCAATTAAAGACTTCGTCTGTCATATACACATGGTTTTTGGGAAAAGGGGCGTAACTTGTGGACAGACGCTTATGGAATGATAAATATCGATATTTTTTGTCCTTTCATGACCTCATTGCTTAACACCAAACCTGAAAAATCATTGTAGCAGCTATAGGACATCCATAAAACATTGTCCATTTCATACATATTGTCATTACCATGCTGGCGAACAAGTCTTAAAGCGGTGGACAGACTAGCCAAATCAATCTGTGCCGAAATAAGCATAGTGTGTCCAGTGTCAAACATGTTAAATATACTTTGCCAACCGAATCTTTAGAATTCATTAGCCAATCACCACTGATTGTTTGAAGACATGGTCGTTGCCATGTTTAACCATGTTTAATCATGTAACGTGAAAGGTGATGCAAACCACTGGTGAATCGGGGGAGAATTCACCTAGTGCGTCCACTCATTCGGCCGAAGGACTTCGGCTACAATTTGTCGCTGATTGATTCGGCTAGTGTGTCTACCACTATAGACATTTCTGAACCAGCTTAAGCCCTAAATCTCAACATGATTGTTAAAGAAGTATTAAGATATATGACCTAAGATAAGTTTATTTCTTGTACTGTCTACAGGTTCATGTATATAATGTACTCAACTACTATAGTATGCTGGTGAAAGATTTGATACATGTTATCAATATCCCAGATAAACACCATGAGCAATAGTATAATATATATATAGAGAGAGAAATAAAATTACTAAATAAACACTTTGAGATTCTCCTACATACATAAATACAATAAACTGATGGCCACATTTTGTAATTATTATAGAGAAATGTTAATAGTTACAAATAGGGATAGACCCCACTTTCTTCTACCTACTACATTATAATATTATACAGAAGAAATCAATTCTCTTTCAGAAAAATTAGGAGGATAAAGTAATCACAGCACACAATGTTTCACAAAAATTCTGTTATATAGTGTAAATAATCCCCTAATGATGTTTTACTCAAGAGAGGGAGTTTTATCCTTATAATAAATATTGCACTATTAGGAATATCCAGTCATGGATGAACAAATAAATGATCAGGGACATGATTGTCTTCATATTATATATTTTTGGAAAACATGCATCTCTACAGAATGAAAGGATGTTGGTATATATATATACTGACAATCAACTGAGCTCATATAGTAATTATCAATTCATGATTTTAGAAGCATTTTACATTCCAACTTGATATTCGCAAAATGCTTGAACAAATTATCTTCCAAAAGATTTTTCCCATCTGATGTCCCAGAGAAACTGCAAGAATTGATAGCCTATTAATCTATAACACAATAATTCATTGACTGTAGCTAAAACTACAATATTATGGTAAATATTTTTGAAAAGAAAAAAATGACATTATGCATTGAGTGAAACTAGAACTACAATTAGTGCTTAATTACAGCAATTTAACATTCATTTATCACATTTGACATTCTATAGATTATAACCAACCATATATAATAATATATCATAAAACTAACAGTAACAATAGGTTTATTTAGGTTTATTATAGACTGTATATCAAATACAATGTAATAGGACATCCATAAAACATTGTCCATTTCATAGATATTGTCATAACACTCATTATTCACATGACTTTCATGAAAAGACTAGATGTTTCAATATACACACCATGTGTATTTAATCTCAGATTGTGTATCTTACACCGTGACTGAAGCAATTCCAACATCAACTTCAGATGCTATGTTTAAAAAATAGTTATGCTATTTAGAAATGATTTTGATTTCACTTTATCACAAAAACCAACCAACCACAAAAAATTCCCCTAACAAACCCAATTTCAACAAGTTGTGACACTTTAATTTACAAGTTCATAATAACAATAATCATAGAGATTAATCCAAATTGTACACTCTATGACTACTGGCATGTTAACCATATTAACATTTAGTTAGTAATAATAATACCAAATAAATACAACTTATTCCAAATATATATCATACAGAATTTAGTTTGTATTTTTCAAATATTTAAGAGAAAAAAAATCAAAATGTAAAACGAAATATTTGAGATATCCCCTACCTCCATGTAATATGTGTAGATGAAAAAAAAAAAAAAACCCACAGCATAAAGTAACAATAATACTAGAAATGTTTGTAGTATACGAGACTCTGAGAGTAACAGAATGTACAAAGTCTTGGAATGGATTTCACATAAAGTAAATAAATATATAATTAATAAATACAATGTTTACAGGTAGTTTTGCTTTGTGGTTATTAATGTTGCACAATCTATTTTAAATTAGTTTAAACATCTATATCATATATACACAACAGAGTCAATACTATCTCTTCTAAGAATTTAGGTCAAACATCTGACTTTTTCTTCTCGAAATTTCAATCACGATTTCATCATACAAATAAGTTAAAGTAAAATTAAACTCTGTTGTGTACTATGATGCCACACCCTATTTCAATAAATATTATCTTAACATACAGCACTGTTATAATGGAATGTTATCTAATTCATACAGAAGAACTAAAACTACAATATTGTAGGCGGTGAAGCCAACAAAACAATCATACTTTGGTCCCCTACTATATGTATGTACCAGCTGTTTATTTCTACAACGAATAACCTAAGAGTTGAGCACACTGATTCGTTCATTAATTATTTAAATCACTGGCATTCTACTTTATCACTCACCAGTCATCACATACACCAAATTTAAATAAAAGTTATGTTTGAACATGTCCACACAATTTCCAAGTGATCCAATGATCAGTATAATATAATAGGGCTCTATCAGTCACAAAATTTTTAAGATGGTAACTTCACTAAAAGAGACAATAAGCCAGCTATATTGAATATCATTATCAACACTTTGTTTAACATATTGCACATAGAGAGACTAATAGAGAAGACTGAGCTATGTACATTTCTTTTTCCAGTTTATAATGAAATTAACATGTACAGTAATGATTTGTTCCCTTATTTTGTTTTCAATCTAAACTTTGTCTACATATAATGCGCAAGATTTAATAAATAACTAGAGAAATATATTTAGACCTACAAGGGTTGTTATATTAAATACTATAATATGTCAGGGGCAGAATACTCTGTATCAAATATGGATAAAGATTGTGGTTTTCTCAGCAGTCTTAATGATATCTTGACTAATTATCATTAGATAATTTCCCCTGACATCTTGATGTAACTTTTATTATTTTTTAAATATTTTTATATTTTATTTATTTTCTCAAGCTGAAAGATCAGCAAGAACAGCCACTGTTTTGAGTGTTGGCATTCTCTGTTAGCCGTGTGCCCTTTGATTGGCTGCTAACAAGCGTTGGATCTGAATCAAGACTTTCAGACATTTTGTCACAGATAATATCCACCAATCGTTCAAATACTGCTTTTACATTTATGTTTTCTTTGGCAGACGTCTCAAAGAATTCCAAACCTGAAACGACAAAAACGATCAAAGCTGTTAAATATTGGTAATCATAATCAATGATAAGTTTGTTATTCACTGGACGAATTTTTGAATTTTGTATATGTTTTCAAATTTATCCCCCTGATTTATATATTGTTTTGGTAAGTTGAATAATCTCTGCAAATTTACTTGCAGCATGATATACGGTTACATTGACATGTTCATGTAATCTATCTAAAATGTTTCCACCAGAGTTCAATATGGCGATGAAACTATAACCTCATTCATACATTACTGAATATAAAGTTATTGTTACTGAATTTCAAAATGTGCAAATTAATAAAGAAACCACATAATCTCAATCTAAAACAAACTGATCTAATGTATTCATAAAAACAAATAAAATTTTACATATGCATGACATTTTATTGGCTACAAATGTTCATATACCGGTATATGAGAAAATTAATGTATTCATAACAGATATTGGCTACCAGTATATTTATAAATATTAATTACCAAGTATTCATATCAAGTTTAAATAGGAATTTTCTATCTGGATGATTATTGATTATTTTTGTGGCTATATAGTAGATATTCTAAATAAATATCAGTTTTATGTAACCTACAATAATCATATTTCTACAATTATTAAATTAAAATGACTCTTGGACCTTTATAAATAACATTTTCTAATTTGATATCTATGTTTTGTGCCCTAGCTTACTTTCAAATTCATGAAATCTTATGAGCGTGATACAGGACAAAGTTCTCAATGTAATTTTTAAAGATAGGTTGCCAGGCAACGAAACATACGCCCACAACAGCAAAATCGTCCGGGCAGTCAACAAGAGTTGTTGCATATTTTTACTTTTTTCGGTAATGAAACATTTACAATACACTAAAATCCGATTAAGAGCAACAACTCATGAAGTAATTATCAGAAAACCATTAGAATTTGTTTATTTGTATAAAGTTCTGCCCCATGCTAACGTTTTGTATACAAAACTTTCATTATCATGGATTTAGCTGTTCAAGACATAAAAATCCATTGAAAATCAATATACTTGTTCGTCTCAAGATCCTCAACTCTGTCTATCAATCTGAAGTCAATCGGATGATAACTTTAGCCTTTAGAGTGTCACAAAGTGATCAAGGGCCATAACTTTAGCAGTAATTATCGGAAATCATTGAAAATTAATAGGATTCTTTGTCTCACGACCTTAAACACTGTGTATAAATTTAAAGTCAATCGGATATTAACTTTGGCCTTTAGAGCGTCCACAAGATTTTTTGAAGTGATCAAGGGCCATAACTCTGGCAGTAATTATAGGAAATCATTGAAAATCAATAGGATTCTTCATCGCATGACCTTAAACACTGTGTATAAATTTAAAGTCAATCGGATATTAACTTCGGCCTATAGAGTGTCCACAAGATTTTTCAAAGTGATCAAGGGCCATAACTCTGGCAGTAATTATTGGAAATCTCTGAAAATCAATAGGCTTCTTCGTCTCATGACCTTAAACACTGTGTATAAATTTGAAGTCAATCAGATATTAACTTTGGCCTCTAGAGCGTCCACAAGATTTTTCAAAGGGATCAAGGGCCATAACTCTGGCAGTAATTATCGGAAATCGCTGAAAATCAATAGGATTCTTCGTCTCATGACCTTAAACACTGTGTATAATTTTTAGGTCAATTGGATATTCACTTTGGCGTTTAGAGCGTCCACAAGATTTTTCAAAGTGATCAAGGGCCATAACTCTGGCAATAATTATCGGAAATCGCTGAAAATCAATAGGCTTCTTCGTCTCAAGACCTTAAACACTGTGTATAAATTTAAAGTCAATCAGATATTAACTTTGGCCGGCCGGACGGACGGGGGCGACGACAATATACGACCACATTTCAATGTGAGCGTATAAAAATTTGTTGAAATTATTCTCTGGGGTTTTAAGGAAGGAGGAACTTACTGAATTCTTAAATTTTGGATCATAAATAGGTTTGCCTTGTGCAGTTCTTTTTCTGTTCACAATTTTACTTTTAAAGCCTAGTTTAGTTTGAACAATTTCATCAAAAGTGTTTCAAAGTAACCATATTTGATTTTAAATAATACAAAGGCAAAAAGACAAATTAAATTATCGACTAACATTCACATCCAGGAATATTATTATTAATATGAGACCAGATTTATGAAGATAACCTAATCAAAATGATCCTGTAGGGCAAATTGTTAGTAATGTTTCTTAATGTGTTGATGTGAAGCAGTGAGTAAGGTGATTTTATATCCTACTTATTCCTAAAAATAGATCCAGAATTCTAGAAAGCCATGTACTTAATTTAATAAATCTAACACAAGATATTTCCAATAATGTGCAAAGTGAGATGCACCCAATATGAAATCTGATTGTTATCCATTACTATTAATTTCTGTGCAAAGAAACAAAGGTTTGTGTATCAAGCTTTTAGATTGCAATTGAATGGAGAGCTAAAGCAGTATTGATTTTACGCAGCAATAAGTGATTTAGTTCCTTTCAACGTTTTATTAATAATCCGAATATCTTTTACTTGTCAAGTATGGACTTCAATAGACCCCAAAAAGTGGTGTGCAGTATTGATTGCATATGATTTATAATTATAGGTTCTATTACATGTCTCCCTTGAATCCTGGCAACTCGAGATTACAATAGAGGAATATAATAGATTGTCTCAACAGCAGAACCATCTTCTACAATACGACCGGTCCACATCACTTTATCCTATCAAATGTAAGCAGATTAATCCGCCATTTTGAATCTGATGCTTAACAAGATGGATTGAAGCCATACAGTCACCGTACCTCCAAATATATCACTTTGAACTGTCGTTCTTATAAAACAAATCAATACTACTCCAACACAGAGGAAATGTAATTTATCAAAACCTAACATCAAGATCACAGAAAATCACAAAATACTTTGTTTACAAGCTCGAAGTAAAAGAAATAGAGAAAAATCTGATTGATATCAATTCTAAATCAGTAGACTGTTTTCTTTAATTACTTAATTAATTTTCTTTAACTATGCAGTAATTACTGAAGTAAATGTAGTTTTCACATTGTTAGTTATTTATGAGTCAGTCTGACATGAGAATAACAAGATATAATTGTTTTAAACACAATCAAGTATGACCTACATTCAGTCATGTAGAATTAATCAATTTAATTAACTACAGGTATTGAAAAATGCAATCGGAAAAATTTGCTTTGCGCAATGAAAAGCAATGAAATGGGATTCAATGTCTAACTTGTTTTGTTACAACCCATGTAATGTCACATTTCAAGATTTCAAGTGGGTGCTTATACATTGGCCTCTGGATCCATTATCTTGATTTAATAATTCTTTTGTTGTTTATTGTTTCAATCTGATTAAAATACAGATCTATATTTCGTTTCATTTTTTTATACTTTCGAAGGCCTACACTAAATGAAGATCTGACCGGTTGTAGTAGAAGGTCGTGTCAGGGGTCATATGAGTGGCTTTTGACCCTATAATGTCAGACATTAATTAGTCAATCAGCGTTGACATTTCTAGAGGTTTACCCACAGTTCTGTGCACCGCATGCCAAGAACTTGCCGTAACAGACATTTTCAGTGGCTAAACCCTCACATCAACCAGAATGTCACTTACACTTAAATAACAACTCTTCCATATTCTACTGTAGTGAAGACAAGTTAAATGAAATTTTGAACTATTAAAAACAAAACAAAATAGGATCTGTGTTTTAATCAGATTGTTACTGTTTGCAATGTTCGTGTATTGTGTATCTTGTCCGCGTGTTTGTCTTATGGGTTTCTGTTTGCATGTGGAGTGGTTCTTCTACACTTACTAATAAAGATGGACAGACCCAATATCATTCTTACAAGTAGTGACCAGCGGCTGCCAGACAGGATACACCCACATTTTGCAAGAGATGGGTAGAGAACAAGCTAAAAACAAATGTGATTTTTTGTACAATCAGGGGCAATAACCCCGAAAGTTATGGTCTGAAATGCACAAATATCAAAAGGGACTGAGATCTTTGGGATATAAAGATATGTTTTAAGTTTCATCAAAATCGGATAAAAACTGTGACCTCTAGAGAGTCCACAACCTTCATATTACATACTTTTACACAATTTGCATACAAAGAATGGCCATTTTGTTGGGCAGTTTCATTTCAATTTTCCCGAAATTCGAATTCAATCTTCATTATGGTGGAATGGTAATATATTTAAATGTTGTTTTTTTTTAAATCGGGAATAAAATTGTGACCTCCAGAGAATCCGCAGCAAGTTACGTTCAGATATGCGCTATTATTGTGTAACAGTGATATATTCACACATATTTTTTAAATCGAATTAAAATTGTGACCTCTAAAGGGACCACAAGCTAAAAACATGATTTTTTGTACATTCAAGGGCCATAATTCGGGCCATATGCGTGAATATCGAAAGGAACCAACATCTTTGGGTTATAAACATGCATTTCAAGTTTCATCAAAATCGGGTGAAAATTGTGACCTCTAGCGTGTCCACAAGCTAAAAACGTGACTTTTCATACAATCAGGGAACATAATCCATGAAGTTATAGTCCAATAGATGCCAATATCGAAATGAACTGAGATCTTTGGGAGATAGACCTATATTTTAAGTTTTGGTAAAATCGGATAAAAATTGTGACCTGTAGAGTGTCCAAAAACAAATTGTGGACGGACAGACAGGGGCAATGGCATAATACGTCCACATGGCGTATAAAAATACTGTCAGAATATTATATTAATATCAATATCAAACAACATAACATTAACCCCTTTTATGAAATAATTATTCAATATAAGTTTTAAAGAATTTTGATAGCTGTAAATTATAAGGTTGTTAAAACCATGTAATCTGAATTCATAAATTTAATAGAAGATAACAAAAAACATAAAAGGAAAAAGCCAGTAGAGTATATATACAATGAAGGGAAGTACCTTTACCAGCAGGATTGGAACAAAATAAAGCAACCCTATTGTAACTTATTCTACTTGTTTCTATATGTCAGGACTTCCATAAGGATATCAATGGCATTTAGATCTTTACACGGGTAAAATATATCTTGCGTGATTTACAAATGCAGAATGGCGAGGAATTGTTTTCTCCGGGAGTACAGTCAATACTATTTTTTTTTTATGTCTACACTAAAGATGGCCATGCATCACAAAGAATGAAAAGTTTTGAAAAGAAAGTAAGATGTCTGCTAGATGTACCTAATTGATCAGCTAGTTGTTTGCCGCGTTCCATAGACACTACACGTTCATCTTCCAAATCACATTTGTTCCCCACTAAAACAACCTGAGCATTATCCCAGGAATATGTCTTTATCTGTGTGCACCTGAAACAAACAAATATGGCTAATAATAAAAAAATACCCCAAAATTAAAAAAAATAAGAGAAAACCCAGTTGTTAACATCTGCCCCATGCACTATACACGATCTGCTATATATACTGCTGATTAGTAATGAAGAATCTGTAAGCTAATAGTTAAAATGTTAGTGTTAAGGAAAGAAAGAATAACTAGAAAAAGATAACAACAAAGTTTACAACCTTTAACCAGAAACCACAAAATGTGCTCACTAAACAATGGTCACTTCAGTCCTGGAACCAGCCACATAACTAATTTTTGCAAATTTCGTAAATTTATAGAACATTTAACAGATATTTCTTTTTATTATACCAGGACAAAAATGAAAATATTCACATAAACCGTTGAGCGAGCACATCAATCCCACCACAACCAATAAAGTGGCACAATTTTCCCAAAGCACAGCAATCAACCACACTATATAAGTAGCTAGGCATAATATAAGTAGCTAGGCATAATAATTGTTTACACACTCAATGGCACAGTACCTAGATTACCGCCCAGTTCCTCGCCTTCCTTTGCTGTAATGGTTCGTCTATCTTCAAGGTCACATTTATTGCCCACTAGAAGGACAGAAGCATTGCTCCAGGCATGGGTCTTGATTTGAGTACACCTGATACAATTTATATAGAGATAGAGTTACAGAGAAACTTACAACAAAAAGAAAATACACTACCACAAAAACATATTTACACATTCAACTAGATTGAAGATTTCATGGGTGTCCACAATAACCACTGGAATTAAATCAGATGAGTTTATCTGGGTCATTTCAACACTAACCATTATTTTTATTTACCATGTTGTTTACATGTGATGCAATATCCAAAAGTTATCTCAAGTCTCTACTTCTTGAAATTGCTCCAAATAAACCCACTTTATAATTCCCTTTGCAATCTTGGGCATCCTACCATCTGAGAATGCTCCAAATAAAAGTCAAAATAACCAATTTTTGGGGAGTGGGGGGATGCTTTTACAACCCCAGCAAAGCACTTATACATGAACATCTTTGTTTGCTGCATGCCTATTTTTATTCTTTTGTGTTCAACATTATAGATTTACTGTTTGGCCTGGTGTAACAGTTTGAATTAACTCACAGTGTGTGTTTGCTCCTGGGCACTTGCGCATGTCCAAAACTGTTGTTTGCGTTAACAACGAAGCTATATCGTGATTAGCTGTTGTTTTAGTGATCAGTAGTTATACACGATCAACGGATCTATGTTGATGGGCTTGAAATTGATACTTCTATCGTTCGTGATTTGTTGCCTTTGTTTTTTTTAGTGATTAGTCGTTACACTCTTTGATGTTTTAGCTATGTTTTGGGGTATCCGCGCCTTAGTCAATTTGTATTTCTACTTTTTATCGAAATAAACAAACAATAGGGGAAATCCTATCACAGGGAGTCAATGCACACCATGTCCATAATGATGTGAGCTCCTACAACTGCGCATGCACTAAACGGTAATCACACACCAGGAACCATCTCACACTGACAGTGTCACACTGGGATACAAAATTGTCAACAATTCCCAAGAAATGTCTTTACAATGATGACATGGACAACCAAGGAAAGAAACTTTGTTAAAGAAATTAAAGTAATGATTAAATGAAACATAATTTGAAACGAAGCAGAGAATGGGTCGCTACTGAAAAATAAAATACAAGTCATGGTCACATATACCCTAGTCACACATACAATTACACAAGTCATGGTCACAGAAATCAGTCAACAGATTTCATTTCTCTCATCTGTAACAAATTACTAATAATCTGTGGTGAAATAAATACTAATATTACTTGCTACATGTACATACATGGTAATCCTATTAATTCTATCATAAGACTTTTTTAATTTCCTGGAATTATTTCTTAAATTGAGGCTTACAGCTGATATAATAAGACTAAAGAAATTAGCACAAAATAATCTCTTTTTGTTCTGTTATGATGCCTCAAGTTTTTTTTTAATACAAGCGTAGTGAAATTGGCCAAAGTAGAGATAGCTAACAATCTGTTGTATTTTTGTATTTCTGTGTCTTTATCACAATCTGATTGAAAGAGAAATTCCAAGATTTTCACATTATTTTTATTTGGTTACGTTTTATTACAGGGTTATCATGCATGTACTCGAGTAGTTCCCAAGGGATCTTTTGGGTGAACCACCTATAGACAGGTGAACATTTACATTTACAGGAAAAGGGTGGCTGACAATTACAAAAGACATACTATCTCGTTAAAAACAAAGGGGGAGGGGGGGAGACACAATTTTGCTTTCCTTTCTGGATGACTGCTGATCTACTGTAATTATGTTACTTAATATCAAACATGATATCGCATGTTGTTTCAATATCCAACATGATATCGCATGTTGTTTCATGTAAATTTTATAATGACTGTTATACATTATATAATAATACCGGTAATGATGATGATTTATTATAAAATCTGGTAACTATAATCCTAGACTCTCATTAATCACAGGAATATGGCCGAAAGATACGCCTGATTGATCATAAATCGTACAATATATCATACTCATAATCATGTCATACTGACACACCATGTTTACAACATCATTCAACAGACTTTTTATAATCACACAAAAAAAATGACTTCCAACTCCGCGTAAATGAGGCGAGAGTGAATGAAATGAAGCCAGATAAAGAGAGTAATAACATTCGCTAGTATATAATCAAATTCCTTACCAATCTTGAACAGCATTAAAAGATTCTTCATTTGTTACATCATACATGAGTAAAAATCCCATAGCACCACGGTAATATGCTGTTGTTATTGTCCTATATCTTTCTTGACCAGCTGTATCCTATTACAAATTAAAAACAAACACATTTTAATTTTAGCTAGCATTAAGATCACATTTACCAGAGAATGAGAAATGATTTCAGAAAGTCAAGTTTTGTGTGGAATGAGTAATATCTAAGTGATAAATGTTATTTTTTAATATTTTAATCTGTTTAGCAATTGTATTTGTATATGACTAAAAACCCAGATCCAGAACTATCAAAATCTCACTCTATGTATATTACTATCTCAAACAACATGACTTTTAATCTATACAAGCTTGCAAAAAAAAGGAAATGAAATTAAATGAAATGGAGTTTAACGTTCTATTGTTCTGCTCCTGACTGTGCTACTGAAGACGGGCATAAGCCACACAGTGTGCTAATAAAAGTGAAATTTTGCCCGGGCAGTGGCACTATGGCCTACTCTTATATCGAATTCCAACTGCCAAGGGATCTTTTATGTGCACGCCAATGTGTACAAGGGACCTCGTTTTTTTGTATCATCCAAACAACTAGACGGCTGTCCTTGTCAAGCCCTCCGTCCTGCACCACTGACAAGGGAAACCACATTGGGCAAAAAAGGGAAGGTACCGGTAATCAAAATGAAATTAAATTTTATTAAAATTCACATCTGGAAAATCAAAACTCCTCTTGGATTCAGACAGTTTGAGGTGTATTAATTTAGGACAAAATAAAATTCCAATCAAGATTACATCTACATGTATTAAATTAAATTCTTCAAGACCTTGGCATCCATTATTGAATACAGAATCCATGGAAACCCTATGAGAGATGATTACGTCTGTACATTGGATAGAATATTATAATGAACGAGTTTGACCTCCACGATAGTAATGTTAACTAGAGTATTAAATATAGACTGGTATGGGTCGGGGTGGAGAAAAATCAATATCTATTATTTGATTATATTTCACTATCTCTACATCTCACATCTTCCATTTTAACATCTATAAATCTAAACTGATAGATTCTCACCATGTACTCACACTTGGGGGTATATATGACAATCAGTAAACCAAAAGTGGTTGAAGAAAAAACAATTATTTGTGTCTGGTTGTGCTACAAACAATTTTATTTATCTAAAAACTTGAGGATTGAAAATAAAGGTGTCATATTGCTTTACTATGCATGAACCATATATGACCCAACTCAATGTTTTGGATGCGTTTGACACCTCTTATTAATAACTTGGCTATTATCACATTTCGAATGTACTAGGTTTTAATTTTTTTAAAAATAAAACCACTATTTTTTTTTTCCTTGCGTGCTAGTTTCATATTTTTCTTATATTAAACCAACATTTTTTTTACAAAGGACGTATGGCTCTATTTTATTGGAACCTTGAAATGGATGAGAATGATTCTATAAGCACATATTATTGTAATATGAATGTATTTTAAGTGACTTGTATTCAATTTTTGAAAAAAATATTGTAATTTCTAATCAATTATGCACGATGAAATACATAAACAGTTCAAATTGAATAGCAGTCGTTTATGCAGTCTTAGTCTTTTTTCATTTTTTATTATTATTAATATTATTATTTGTCGTTTGTGAATCAGACTTTACTTATTATCCCCACATTGTCTTAGAGGATATGTTTTTTTTTGTTTATTACAAAATGGCACCAGACACCATAGGATAGTCGACTCATGTACTGATTATTAAATTTTAATTGTCTTAAATATTGGATATTAGGACCCTATATTTTCAATGTAAGATAAGAACATCAATATTAATTGAGATTGACCTATATTAAATTCTAATTCATGTTTTTAATTTTGAATATTATAACGTTGCCGTTAAGTACACACGGCGACTTTTGTCGACAAAACAAGTTACTCAAATGCAACGTTCCTAGCGAAATAATAAACAGACGACCTTTTCTCATTTGTTTACTTCCTGTTTGACATTTTGACAGTTAAAAATCTTAACTGTTGCTTCTTAAAAAATTATAATAAAACAGTGTTATGTCTCGGCCTATACAACATTGTTCTCCTAATGACGGAATACCATCCTTATTAAAGCCTGGCGCACACTACGCGACAACATTGGCGATTTCGGTCGCCGACGATGAAAAATCAAAAACTCGCCTGCGACCATCGCGGCCAACAAATTTTAATTACTTAAATAGGGCCTAAGGCGTGTTGAATTGATTTCTTGTTTCTCCTCGCCCGCGCGCTTAGGTCGAGGACCCCGAAAATCGTGCGCTTACGTTTTTAACACAAAAAAAAATATTCAAAAAATTACGTTAATAATAACATCTAAAAAAAATTCTACCAAACATCAGAAGTCAATTCTCGTTGTTTATTCCTCGTTACGAACTAATTAAGTAAGTGCAGGGGGGCCGCACTACACGCAAAACAAAAATCTACAAGATAAACCTGCGGACAGAAAATAGGCATTGCACCGAATAAACAAATACCAAATCAAGTGAATGGATCCGGTTGATAATACACATGTAGGGGCCCGCATACTATGGAATAAGTTACACTGTATATGATTGGATGAATTCCGCAAAATGGCGCGTGTAGCAGTCATATTATAAACTGTAAGACAGTCGCTAATATTCAACCGGGGAACCTGAATAATCAATTTTTTCATTGGCTAAAATTATAACACAAGTTATTATTATTCAAGTATTACCCAATCATATCTTGTGTAATAAATAACGCACGCCTTACAAAATGGTGAGCTATGCCGGGACATAGGTAAATTTGCGTACCGGTCGGCCTAATTTATTGATGTTCAAGGAAATAATAGTGGTCCCGTTCGTTCGTTTCTGGAGTTTAACGAACGAACGAACGAACGAACGAACGGGACCATTATTATTTCCTTGAACATCAATAAATTAGGCCAACCGGTACGCGAATTTACTTATCTCGACTCGACTTTGGTGTGTATTCCCAGCACTTTCACGTTCGATGATATTGTCGAAACCATCTATAACTCAACAAGCGAATCAAATTTCGTCTAACTAGAATGTTTCCATTGTATTGTAACACAAGAATACGGCAAATTTATATCAAAATATGGTTATTTCATTTTTTAAAAAGTTAAACAAAGAAGCCACTTGTTACCAAATTTTAGTTTGTTATTAAATTTATTTAATTAAATAAATATTATCTGTGTTTTTATTCTAACCAATAATATAATTAGATTATTTATAATATTATTAAAAATGGCACACAACCCTCAGACTATATAGGTATTATGCCAGACCACTTTGTGGTTTGAAACCCACTTTGTGTTGTGTTTACTGCACTACCGCACATGATTGCCAGAGTGGTGGCAGGAGAAACAAGGAATCAATTCAACACGGCCTAAGCTTAAATTAAAAGAGAGTCATGATGAATGATTTTTAGTTTACAACAGCCGAAATTATATACATGATTTTTTCATGAAATGTCTAAATTAATTTTTTGTATAAAATTATATTTATGAAGATGGCATTAAATTTAGATTATTTCATCCATTTACATGAAGGGTTTATCTACAGTTGTTTTTTAATATGACTTTAAAATGCATATCTATATTTTAACACTATTGACCATTATGACGTTGATTTTTATGACGTTATGACGTCAAATCTCTGGGTCATTTAAGAGTTAAATATAAAACTTCAGATTTCAAATCTGACTAATCCATGTAACACCGTACGACTTTCAGGGGATGTAGCTCATTGACATGTGTCCTCTAAGTATTGGAAATGAATACAGATTCTTGGAATGGATCTTCAACACTTACAGCAACAATTCAACAACTTATAATTTCCTATAAATCGGATCTCCAACTAGTATTATAGGTTTCCTAAGCTAGTCTCTCCAACTAATGAATCATCTTATGTGTGAAATGGCTTTATTTAACGTCTGCTTCCACCGAGGTGATATCGCAGTCAATTACATGTTATATATATACGTAGTGAGATTATTTATAAGGTGATAAGCGAAAGCGGATTAAATGGATAATTAAATATTTATATATATGTACAGAAAACAATAAATGATAGGATGAGACGTTATATAACGGGTTCAATTAGAGACAATCATAGACATTTTACAGACACACAAAACACGAATATTTGACAAAACAGACATGAATGTGGATGAACATTTAGACAAAGAGACATAGTATGTACAAACATATATATATATATATATATATATATATATATATATATATATATATATATATATATATGTATTAACCCATTTTTGACAATAGCGAAACAACTCGCACCAACACCAAGTGACTCACGGTAGAGAATCAACTCGCGGAACCATCATTCTTCTCAACGTCATTAGCGAACAAAAGTGCCAAATCAATCAACAGATTTCTATTGTGTTTATTTCATAAATTAATGGTGATTGAGTAATAAAAATAAAGCACCCAATGGCAAGTAATGTCAAAATACAGATTTGAAATTAAAAACAGAATTAAACAAGCCAATAGTGAGGCTGATGTCCCCTGCCGAAATCCAAAAATAAACAGATGACAGTCGTATTAATTAATCACACATTTATTTTTTTCAAAAGTATCAAGCAATTAAACTGATTATCAACTATACACTAAGTTTCATCACTCTCTATTAGATAGAATCAAGATTATCTTGTCTCAAAGCATCGACCAATGAAATCAATAGCCTCTGCTTAGCTTTAGCGGGAAATGTTAATCATTGAAATCCGTCAAGACATTCACCTAATGAACATCTACATTAAGTTTAAACATTCTACATCAATTAAAAGCAGAATTGTTATGTTCCAAAGTCTTGACAAATCAAATTGCTTATCGCTCCTTAGCCTAAGCAGAAAATGCTCATCTTTGAACTCCATCAAGGCACTGACCTAATAAACACCCACACCAAGTTTAAACATTCTAGCTCAATTAGAAAGAGAGTTATTATGTCCCAAAAAGTGTGACGGACAGACAGACATACGGACAAACGCATTTTAATAGTCCCCTGCTTTCTTTGAAAGGTGGGGGACAAAAATAATAAAAT